CACTGGTAAACCCGCAATAGTGTAGGACAGCTGAAGTCATCTCCCTAGTGAGACCCAGGGCTGAATCCCAAAGGGGGTGACTGCCCCGTCTCTGAGTGGCGAGAGACTGGTGCTTCCCCGGGGCTGCCAAGTCCCAGCGATGTTCTTAGAGTGACAATCCAGAGAGCACCAAGCAGCGATGGAGACCAGAGCGGTGGCACCTACAAAGCAAGTGGCAGGTGGGAGCTCTAGCAGCACTCACCGAGTGGCACTGATCACAACTGGATCTTCCTAAAGGAGAGGTAGGCAGTGACACAAAATCTTTCCCAGCAAACCGGTGCCTAGCACAGCAGCAGAGTGGGCCAGAAAGAGAGACAAGTGTAGGTTATGAGATTAGGCTCTAAAAGGAGCCGCTGCTTGAACAGCCTGTCCCCAGATACAACTCCCAGAACATCCTTACCTGGGTTCAGGAAGTATCATAGAAAAGTACGGTTGGAAGGGATCTCAGGTCATCTAGTCCAACCTCTTGCTTAAGGCAGGCGCATCCCTGTCTAAACATTTTACAGAAATATTTGTCTAATCTGCTCTTAAAAACTTCCAAGGATGGCGATTCTACCACTTCTCTAGGTTGACAACCTATTGAAAAAAATGCCAAATGTCAGTTTTAAAGAACCACAAGCCCTGTGGCTGAAGCTGGACCAGGGCCCAGGAACAGAAGTCAGGTTCATTTTGGAGCATTCAGCTTAATATTCGATCCCAGTCCAGTAATTTAAGGGATGATGTGAATGTGCGTGTTTGAAGTGTACTTCCCCGAGCTGTGTTTTTCTTGACTTTAGCTGCTATTTTTATTGCTGTTTACAGTTGTTGCTTTTATTTACCAGGGGTGGGCAATTATTTTGGCTGGAGGGCTACTTAATGAGTTTTGGCGAGCTATGGAGGGCTGCAAGGATAGCCCCGCCCCTTGACGGGGGCCCTGCCCCCTGGTCACCATCTTGCAACCAGAAGTCCCACCCCCTTACTTTTGCCACCAGAAGTCCCACCCTTGCCCCCAGAAGTATACTCCTTTTGGGAAGGGGGTTTGCCATCTTGAAACAGGGGGGGAAAAAACAAATCATATACTAAAAATCAAACCCTGACAATAACTTATTTTAATAAGGACTCTGTTCCAGTGCTGAACCACCCTCCAAGTTAAAAAGTGCTTCCCCTTACGCTCCATATTTTTTCCATGTCACTTCAAGTTTGTGTTTCTGCTGGGAATGATTTACAGCGATTAACAGCAAGATCACATCAGGCCTGGGAGTGTTGGATAGGAAACCTGAGATCACACTGGGATGGACTTCATCATGAGAGGCTTCTAGCAGAAAGCGCCCCTGTCATTTGTGTTGGGTTTGCAAGTTTGTTCAATGTCACTCCCCGCCTGAACTTCTCCCTGACATTTCAGCCTTGTGTTTTGGGTCAGAAGGAGGCGCTGGAAATGAAAGCAGTTTTAATAACACTCTGCACCTTCTCATCCACTCGCACAAGTTGCAGAATGATTGAAATAATAATGGGCATCCACTGACAATGGCAGTGATATGGATGTGACTCATTTCCCTGCACCCAGAAAGTGTGGGAAGTCTAGCAACCTCCCAGAAATCTGGCTGGGATGTGAGCTATGCCTTTGGACCAGTTTCCCCTCTGAAGGTGGATTCACATGGGAAAAACATAAGTAACTTCTATTTCATTAAGCATTGGTGCAAATTTTTTTCTTTGGCTCAGGTATTAGAAGCCTAGTCGAGCTCAAACTAAAGGCTTGTTTTCTGGTATCAGCTTTGCAAACGTGTGCTCAGACTACTAATAAATGTGCCTTGCTTACAGCAAATCTTTTGCCGTTTCCTACCCCCGCCAAAAAAAGCGATCAATTTGGTTTTGGGCTCTTGGACCAAAAACAAAAAACCTGCAACCCCCCCAGCTCAGCTGGGGATTCAGTCATTGACAATTCACAGAAAAAAATTATCACCAGCAGCAGATGATAAAGTCTATATTCAGTGACCTCCTAACTTCACATCAAGATGAAGACCAGCTTTTTTTTTTTTAGCTCAACACATGAACAAAACCATAGGTCTGATGTAAGATTTTTTTTAATGACTGAGGTCAATACTCTGCTAACTGAGGTGGACCTGTGTATTTATACATGTATTTTATTTGATTGCAATAAGATTTGAATGTACAGTGTACATCCTGGTGTCCCTTGTAACAGTGTGAGGGGAGTTATAATTTCACAGAGTTCACGGTGCCTGATCATCTTGTCTGAGCAGTATACAATAGGGACTACTTTGTACAGGCATGTAAAAAAAATAGCCCTTCAAAATTTCAGCCTCAATATACTATTAAACATGAAAGTGCAGGCTGTGAGCTAACAGAAAGGCTGTCAAGGACTTGTTTACAAAACTGGGAATTATGCCTTGATCTAGCAATGTGTGCTACAAAAAGGCTTTAAGAGGGACAGCTGCTTAAGTTCCCCCTGAAGTCCCACTTCTGCTATTTTGCCACGTAATGAACTTTGCAATCAAAACTTTCCATGTTTTATTGCCCTTTCTATAACCCCTCTCTATCTGGCTATCTGGCCAGGATTGCAGCACAAATTTCTGGCAGCCTAGCTATGCTGGTTAGGGGTAGGAAGAAGTATAATCCTTGACTGGCATTGCAGTGCTGGCAAAACCCTGTAGTGAAGACGCTATTAAACTAGAAATCCTCTGCTTTTACAGAAAACCTATGTAAGGCTTGGGTTCCTGATAAAGGGGACAGAGGGGATGTCTACATGAGCGCTTTACTGTGCAGTAGACTAATCTGTTGGGAGCAAAGCAGCGCCAGGACTGGGGAGCTCTCTGCTTCCCTGCCCAGCCAGAAGCTGTCCTACTTCTGGGGCAGCTCGCAGCCCCCCTGGCTGGGTGAGGAAATCCCCGAGCAGCCCAGGACTGGCTGGGAGCTGTTCGGCTTTCCCAGAAGTGTGTTGCTGGGGAGCGGCTGCACAGGGAAGCCCCACTGGGCATGGGGCTTGGACCCATGTGCACAGGGCCAGGAGACTCTGCAGCAGCAGCTGTGTCCCACCCCCGTGCACATCAGGATCCTTCCCAATGTGCATGGGGCCAGGAGACAGCTGCTGCAGGCAGCTTTTCTGGCCCTGTGCACAGGGAGTCAGAGCAGGGTAGGAGCAGCCCCATACCAGGCTACTCCTGTTGGGAGCAGATTTGCTCCCAACAGGGAGCACATGCAGACGTGGTCCCAGGGGAGGCTTCCTGCACAGTAGTTTACTGTGCAGTAAGCCTTCATAGCATTAATAGCATGTGTTGATGTGCCCAGAGAGACTCAAGTGGCTCAGGAGGCGGCCCTCTATCCAAACCAACAAGCATTCTCAGCCTATTCAGTGTGCAACTGCCTGGAACCAGGCAACAGGAAAAGCAGAGCACGGGGATGTGTCTGAATGCTGCTTAACCCACTGCCACCAAGCGGCCTTCCTTCTCTGGGGATCCAGAGCACAGAACAGGGTACAGCAGACCCAGTCTCGAGTCCTTACCCTGCCTGAGGGGGGCATTCTTGGGTTCCCCGTGAAGTTTAACACCCCCACACCACAGGTTGGGGAACATGCCCTTGAATTCAGGCTTTATCGCAATTAGAAACTGTAGAGAGGACAGAGAAGAGGAAAGTGGCAGGGCTGTGTTACACCATGAGGGGTGTGTTCTAGGATGACATCCTGTTACACTGGCAAAAGTGCAGCCCTGCCAGGAAAACGTGTGCAAACTGTGTGCGCTTTGCTGGTACAGAAGACTGGTACAGCAACACCAGCAAACAGCTTCTTGTGATGACCTGACCCTTATCTCTCTTACAGTTTGATAGTACTGCTTATCACCATGCTACCCGAGTGCCTTCCGTACGATTAGGCTTGGTGGGATTTGCTTTTTATTGACAGACATCGGTAAACATCGATTGCACCAGACACCCACGGACTGATGGAAAAAATATTTCCATCAGTAATTATCAATGGTATAACAGTCACAAACTGCTTCAAGGCCATTTCAGACTGAACATAAGGAAAACCTTCTTTACTGTCTGAGTCTCCAGTGCCTGGAATAGACTCCTCCTAGAACTGGTGCAAGCCCCTAGTCTGGATACCTTTAAGAAACCCCTGGATGCTTATCTTGCGGGGGTGATCTGACCCTAGCTGATTTCCTGCCCCTTGGGCAGGGGATTGGACCCGATGATTTTCCAAGGTCCCTTCCAGCCCTAGTGTCTACGAAAATTTAAATAAAAGTGACTTAAAAAAAAGAATCTGGGATGGAGGTAAGGAAATCTGGGGCGGGGCAGTGTGCACACACACGCACACACACACACCCAGCTGCTGCAGGAGCTGGGGGCTGTGCTGGTAAGGCTGTCCTGGGAGGGTGATAGTAGCAAGGGGCCTGGTGCTGTTGGCCCCTTGCTCTGCCCAGGTCCCAGCCGGGGCAGGGACCAAAATGCTGTGGACCCTGTCCCGGCATCTGTGTGATCATGGCAAACTCCTGTGGAGGCTGGAGTAGCCCAGGCTGGGCTCCACGGGAGTTTGGACCCTGCCCTGCTGAGACCTGGGCAGAGCAAGGGGCCGGCAGCACTGGGCTCCCAGGTACTACTAGCCCTGCCCCTTCCCCACTCCAGCCTTTCCAGTATGGCCCCCAGCTCCTGCAATGGCTGCCACACATGCGTGAGTACATGCATGTGTGCAAAATTGATAAAAATTGAAAAACACCCCTAATTTAGATGCTTAAAAATTAAATATTGATTTTAGCTGTCACCATTTGAGGAAAAAAAAAGCGAATTCTGCCAAGCCTGCATGTGACACACATGACAACAGTAGCAAAGTCTCTAGGTCAGCGGTTCTCAACTGTTTTGGTACTATAGCCCAGTGGTGTAGATGAGGCAGGGCTACCAGGGCAGCCCCCCAGGTGCTGACTTAAGGGGGGTGGGCAAACCTTTGTTGCTGCAGCTGCCTAAATGCAACTGTGATCATGCGATGCAGTGGCAAACGGAAGCTGCCTGGTGCGTGTCGGCTGCCACGGGTGCCCAGCCACATCGTTGTGCCCTTGCTACAGCCCACTTTCAACTGCACAGCAATCTGAGGGCCACTTGCATGGGGTTGGCAGACAGGTAGACTGTGAGACCCCACATGCAGCCTCATGCTTATCTAATGGCACCAGGCCCAGCCTGTGCCTAAAGCTACCATTGCATCCGCCCCGCACTCCTGGGCACAATCCTACAGATCAAATCCAACTTCCCCCCAAAAAGCGCCTGCCCCCCATTCCCATTTGTAGTCCCACAGCTACCTACCCTCTAAGCTCCTGTGTGGTTCAACAGCCCCCCAGCTCACCTTGCTGCCCCGTGCATTGCTTCTCGCACGTTCCTTTTGCTGGTCACACTGCTGTGACACCTAAGCTTTCTCTGAGTGTACTAGCTTCAGAAGAAGTGGAGCATTTGCCATGTTCACATGGCACACCTAATCAGCTTGCCCGAAGCAGGTATGCTGTTTCCTATTCAGGAGGTAGCACGTGCAGCTTAGCACTGGGGAATATTCAGGTAGTTGAAATACCCCCTCCCTCCTTTTTGCTACTTTTAAGGCCTATTCACGGCAGCACCATGGCTCACCAATGGGGCCCTGACTTACTACCTAACACAGGGCTGCCCCATCTACCAGCTGGAGCCTGTCTGCATTTCAGGCACAGCAATCTAACCTGGAAGTAACACATTCCTGGATAATTTTGCCAGATTTTGCTAAAGAATGACAGGATGAAGTTTCCTAGAAAACTGGAGATAAAAGAAGGCATTTTTAGGCACAGATTCTATCTTAAGTGCTTCAAGTTTACTGAGGAGCAAAACAGAAGTGAACATCTCACATCTTTAAAATGGGATTTTTGGTCTTAGTGGAAAGTGGAGACAAGAGAGCTTCAGCCCGTGAAAGCTTGTTTGTTCATTCGTTCGTTCTTTCTCTCTACTTTGTTTAGTCTGTATGGTGCAAATCTAACCTATCTTCTACATTTTTCTGTCCACCTGATTTTAACTGTGTTCAGCCTGAACCAGCTGCTCTTCAGCCAGGAGCTCAATTCTTGTAGGCAATCTGACACTTCAACTGTGGGTGAAGCTGTATCAGCTGAGAATGAGATATATCTCATAGGTCTGGCAGACACAGCAAGCCCCTTGGGGCAGGGAATATTTCTTGAGTCTAGGAAGTTAGTTAAAATAAAGTCCCTGTAGGGTAAAAAGAAGCAGAAGAGAAAGGGGAACCTTTCTGCTCACTTATGTCCTGTAAGGGATTCAGTGGACTTTCAAGCTTTGCAAAGTAGCTGCTGGGGGTTAAAGAGGACAGAGATAAGAGTCCGGTGGAGCTGGGGAGCTCGCACACCACTGGATTCCTGCACTGTAGTGAAGGTCTGCAGGGGACAGCAGTGCCTGTGGGGGGTAGATGGGGAATTATAGAAACCGTATGCTCTTCATCAGCACTTTATATAATAAAAGCAAGTAAGGTAATTAACTGGGAACAATTTTGTTAATTTTACATTAGGATTGCTTCCAGGTATGCATGCCAAAGAGTATTACACAGGGGTGGGCAAATTACAGCCTGTGGGCCAAATCCAGCGTGTGGCAGGTCTTTGTCCAGCCCACGGAGGGTCCCTCAGTCCCCTGGCCCAGGCACTGTGCAGGCATGGTGCGTCCTGCTGCCCCCTGGCCATGCCGTGCGGCTGGGGCAGCTCTGCAGCTGGACTGCCTGTGATGGCCAGAACCAAAGAAATTAATAAGCAATAAAGATGTGCTCCTTGGAGGCATTTGGAACTTTTGTCTAATACGAAGCTTGTATTTTTGTAACCCGCAAATGTAACTTGTAACTGTCTGTGGAACCGACCAGGCCTCCAAGACAAAGCTCTAGCTGTGAAATTAGCTGATCTAATAGTTCTTTCTCGCTCAGAATTTAGCCTTGATGATGATAACAACTGGATTCAACTGCCTAGCTTGGCCTTTCTTGAAATGTACTGGATATCTCAAGAAAGCATAGTCAGAGAGTTTTGAAGGGGCTGGATTTAGGCTGGGTAACGTTCATTTCAAACCTGAAGATGCTGTGTTGCAATTTGCTTATTAGATAAACTCAAGCTTAGGCAGTAACTTATTAATAATTTCTAACACCTTTTAACCCCATAGGATAACAGCTATAAAGCAATATTATGAATGGCTACATAACTAGAAAAATAGCATCATTACAATATAAAAGAACACACATGTCATAGTAACCCTGGGGAAGGACGGAGCAGAAGGGTCACTGCTGTCCCGTACCCCACGGATCTCTCTTACTCCCTGTGAGAGTGAGGACCAGATCCTGACTGAGGGGCTTCCACCAGTATCCTTCGAGCAGCCCAGTTCAGAGACGTCTGACTTTGCTGATTCAACTTGCCGTGCATCTTCTAACCGAGGGACTCTTGATAAGTTACTAACCAAGTGGAAACTCTTGGTTAATTTCTTTATCTGTTTTAGTATCACTGTCAATTTTCATTGGTATTGTTGTGTTGTCTGTTTATTAGCTTAACCTTTTTATTAACTATTATATATGCAAACTATATCTTTTGTTGTCATAAGTAAAATTCATTCCTTTTTGTAAGTGAAAGTTGTCATTTCTTTCCTTTCCGACATCACCTCCTCGATCCCGAACCAAAAAGCCCAGTGGCTAATAAAGTTGGAGCGCTCAGTCAGTCTGCAACTAAATTGATATACTCACAGTGCCCAGCTGGCCTGTGACAACTGCCTTTCTAGGCAGCTCAGGTGGCAGGCAGCTCTGTCCGGCTGCCGCTGCGGGCCCCAACCCTAGCCCCACGGTACTGCACAGCACAGCCCTGCCCCTATGCACCACGTGCCTGCTCCGGGCTTGCCTGCCCAATCTCAGCAGTGGCAATGCCTGACAGAAGCTGTTGCCCAGCGCGGGGTAAAAGCAGCATCTCCAGCTCCCACTGCCAGCAGTTTGCTGCTGCCACCACTGAAAGCCCGCTCAGGGCTGCCCTGCATCTCCGTTGCCATCACCACCACCTCCAAACTGCCCTGCGGGGCAGCAGTGGCAGCACCGAGCAGATGCAGGGCAGCCCAGCATGGCACGACTTTTCTTCTGGAGCAAGTGTGCAGGGTCAGGGCTGTGCAGTGCAGATCCCTGCTGGTACCACGGGGCTGGGGCTGGTGGTGGCGGCAGCCAGCAGCCACTGTCACCTGCGCTGCCTAGAAAGGCAGGCTAGTTGTGGAGCTACCCCAGCCACGCTGCATGCCCAGGGGGCTGCAGGATGCATCACAGGTGGGTGGCATGGGGTGGGCCAGGTCAGGATGGTGCCCGGGTTCCTGCTGATCCGCTTCAGCGGGGGTGAGTCTGGACCAGGCGTGGGGCCTGCTGGGGCTGTGCATTGCTGGTGGTGGCAGGGAGATGCTGCAAGGTGCGCAGGCTCCAGGCTGTTGCAGGGTGGAGGTGAGTGCTGACCAGCTCAGGGGTGCGCTTGCGGGGGCTCCCATGCACACCCACTATACCCTTAAACCCCCCCTCACAAACCCCAGAACCACACCCTCCCCATACACAATTACACACCCCACAAACACCACACCCTTCCCCCCCACACACCTACCCATGCACCTTTGGGAGGTGTCCCTCTCACTGCTCTGCACACATACCTTATAGGGTGGCCATCATAGAGGACAGTCTGGTTATCCTCTTATTTTCTCAAAGAGAAAAACAGAGGACATAAAGGCATCCGGTATCGTATCAATAGAGGACAGAGAAGCAGAAAACCGTAATGTCCTCTAAGATGGTCACCCTAACGCCTTACCACGCCTGCACCCACACCCCCTGTGCACAGCCCACACCCAACCTCCCACACACCCGCAGCCACCCTCCCTCCCCCTATGCACCCCACAAACCCCATACACACCTACACATCCCCACAAACACTCCCCCCACAACCCTCCTGTCGCAGAGCTGGCAGGTGCCCTGTGACTGAGAGCAGAAATGGCTCAGGGGAGACCCCTGGTGGCGGAAAGAGGGAAGCTCAGCTGCCAGTCACTAGTATTGTGCAGGTGCTGGTTGCTAGGGCAACCAGGGTAAACACAGAGACAGGAAGGGGCGGAGCTTCGCCCTTCTTAAGCCCAGGCAGGAGGGCAGGAGGGCAGTTTCCCTCCGGTGGCTGAGGGAAGAGGAACTCAGCCAGCACAAAGAGGTGAACCTGGATGGCAGGAACATTCCCTAGGTCCTGCTGAGGGGATTGGTGTGCTCGCTGTCTCTGGTAGGGAGGTATTATTGTTTTCTTCTGACCAGGACGGTCTAGCTTTTATGTTGTAGCCCGGGGCTTTGTGTTTTATGTTCGCTATTTTACCGGAGGACCGGGTAAGGCTATTAGGGGTTGGAGGAGGCCTCATAGGGACTCCCCAGTAGCGTGGGGGTTCCTGGCGCCGGAGAAGGTGCAGTATTTTGCGGAGTGCATTGGCCTAGCCCCGTGAGAGCGGGGGGGGGCAGCGAGGAGCCCCGTGAGAGAGTAAAGAGGGGCGGCGAGGAGCCCCGAGAGCAAAAGGAGGGCCGAGACATAACAGGGCCCAAGTCAGAACACACCAGCACCATCTGCGAGGCTTGGGCAGCAGTGTCGGGGAGGAAAAGGAGCCGCAGGCAGCGCCCCCTGTCATCGGGGCGTGTAGAAATGGGCAGCCTCCCGCTGATTACAATCATCTATTAATCAAAATAAGATCAAGGCATGGCAGGAGAGTAAGCAGGCAGTTGGCCCATTGCAGGAGGGTGAAGCCACACTTCCAGAGAGGCTCCGAGAGTAGGACTCCTGTCACAATGGTGAATTGGCTGGGAAATTTTCGTGCGGCCATCCGCACCCTAAAAGGCTGGTTGGTCTGTGTGAAGAGGCGAGCCCTTGGGTCCATCTGGACAGTGCGACGGGAATGGATACCAACACCAGACACTGCAGCCCAACAGCAAGTCGAGGGTCGGCCCTACCGGACAACACTAAGCCTATGGAACCATGACATAGGACGAGGAGCACTGGTAGCCAACACGAAGGGGGGCGCCCACCCACGACCAACGATTTGGGTAGGGATGTGTGGCTATGAGACCCAAGTTGACACTGAGGCAAGAAATGAACTTCCCGCACTAACGGTGGAGGTGATAGTCGATGGGAGGAAGGTACAAGCTTTGTTAGATTCCAGGTCACTACAGATTATGGTACGGGAGGATGTGGTACCAACAAAAGAAAAGGGGATAGCCGATCAGGTAACAGTGCAATGTTGGTGTGGAGACCCCTTCAAGTTCAACAGGGTGAGGGCCACCCTGCAAGTGGGCAAGAAGACCCGACAGATGCTGGTCAGAGTTGCTGAACATTTGCCTTATCCAGTGGTGTTGGGCTGCGATTGGCCTGAATTGCTGGAGGAGATAACCAATGTAAGGCTAGGGGAGAAGGCAGAAGTATTCACAGGCACAACCGAAGCACACCTCCCGACGAAAGGGGTGAACAAGAGGTGGACATGTCACACCTATGGGAAGACGAGCATTTCCAGCTGGAGCAAAGTTGGGAGCCTGATTTTTCAGCCAGCATTACGAAAACATCTGGCCCAAAGAAATGGAGAGATCTTACGGCTGGCGCTGATGAACATGACACTGAGGTTTGAGATCAGGAATGACCTCCTGTATTGAGTGGAGTTGGGGAAGCCGGAAGGAGAGGAGGTTGCACAGTTGCTGGCACCTCGGCACTATCGACGAGCTTTATTGAAGGTGGCTTATGAGCTCCCTATGGGGGGACATTTGGGCAGGGATAAGACTGAAGCCCGTGTTCGGGCAAGGTTTTTTTGGCCAGGACTTGCAGGAAGTGGTGAAGTATTGCGCTTTATGTCCTGTGTGCCAAAAAGTGAATCCAAGACCTCCTCCAAAGGCTCCTTTAGTTCCAATACCTTTGGTGGAGGTTCCCTTTGAGCGAGTGGCGCTGGACATCATGGCGCTGCTTCCCCGAAGTAGCACCGGGAACCAGTATATATTAGTACTACTGGATTATGCTACAAGATATCCAGAAGCAGTGCCGATGCGAACTGTAACTGCCCCAAAAGTGGCAAATGAGCTGGTGAAGGTATTTTCCTGCGTCAGACTCCCTAAAGAAATGCTAACGGATCAGGGAATGAATTTCACATCACGGGTGTTTAAGGGAGTGAGCAAGGCCTTAGGAATTAAACACTTGAGAACAGCAGTATACCACCCCCAAATGGACGGGCTTGTAGAACGATTCAATCAGACGCTGAAGCAAATGTTAAAGAAGTTCGTGGCCGAGAGACCCCAGGAGTGGGACAAAATGATACCACCGTTGTTGTTTGCAGTAAGGGAGGCACCACAAGACTCAACTGGGTTTTCACCCTTTGAATTATTATACGGCTGCCAACCAAGAGGGATCCTGGATCTGATTAAGGAAAGTTGGGAGGAACAGCAGAGTAGAGACCAGAACTTAATCCAATATGTCATATATCTGTGGGAACGTCTGGAAGCAGCCCGAAGTGCGGCCCTAGAAAATCTCAGGGAGGTGCAACAGCGTCAAATGAGATATTATAACCGAGGCGCATGGGCAAGAAAATTGGAGGTGGGAGATTTACTTTCTCGGTCTGGCAATAGAACCAAGAAGCAAGCTGCTTGCGTGGTGGCAAGGGCCCTACGAGGTGATACGCCAGGTAGGACCCGTAGACTATG